AGTCTTGTACCTGCCAAGGAACCGAGATAAATGTTTATCCTCACCAAGCACTTGGATTGGTGTTTCACTGCTGACTTTGGAAATAGAAGTTGTGTGGCTTACATTTAATGAGTTCTTGCCAGGTACCAGGCACTGTGCTCCACTTACATCACCTCCTTTGACTCGGCATTAATCATATGAAGTGGGTACAGTTATTAGCCTCATTTTATCAACAAGAAGAATGTGACCCAGAGAAGTTAGCAACTTGTCCAATATTTATGATTAGCAAGCAGCTGAGCCTAGCTTCACTCACTAGGACATACTTTGCAAGGCCTAATGAAAAAGGAAAATGTGGTCCTTCGTTAAAAATGATGAAGCTCATCAAAATGGGAACAGAAGAGCATTTCACCAAGAACAGGGTCCTTCTAAGTGGGAATCTATGAGACTGCATAGGTTGTAAGTCTATAAAGCAACTCTGCTCGAACAATCTGCGTCCAGAATGTATTCTCTTCACCACACAAGCAGGGCTTAAGAACACAATTTGGGGAAAGTTGACTTTGACACATAAATAGCTTCTGTGTGTGTTTCTCAGGCTTAAGTCCTCCTTCAATGCCAGCCTTCTCTTCATAATGGACTTGGAATGATTTACTAGCTAGGAACAAAAAGTCCCCACCCAGAGCCAACACAACTCAAGGTATAGACATCTTGTCCCTTGTCTTGGTGCTGTGGGAGGACAGTGGAGTTCTGAAGGGAACATAGGACCCAACCATCTGCTTTCTCCCAGGGCTTAGTTTTCCCAGAGGCACATTGCTCAGAAGTGATTCCTTCCCATGGAAAAGCCTGGCTTTTGCTAATACTTAGGAATTGCTCGTTAGCGATTGCTGATACTTACTGAGTGCTTACTTAGTATCACACACACTTATTATTACTTGACATGCAGCTTCCTTCATCTTTAATAACTATGAGATAGATACTTTAATAGCACCATCTTTCAGATGAAGAAAGTAAGGCAAAGAGATTTAGGTAACTTTCCCAAGATCTGGTAACTAGAAGAATCAGAACAAGTATCTGTATAGACTCTAGTTCTAGAGCTTACATATGATGCTTTCCTTCAAAGTCCTCCTAAACATTCTAGAAGGATAGGGAGGACAGCCAAATAGGCCGAGTATAATGAGAGCCAAATATCCAAGAATGTGGCCCTCTCATTACCTCGGAGCGAAGTTCCAAAGTGTAAGTGCTAAAATTTTTCTAGAGCACTAGGGTTAGGGTCAGTTTTTCCATATAGTTCACCAGGAGCATGAAACACACGCAGACGCGTGCACACACACACACATGCCCATGCACAAACTACAGCATTACTTAGGACTCTACTAGGAAGTGAGTCACCAAAGAAAGATAGCCTTAAATATATAGTCATATGTCGCATAGTGACAGGGATATGAGCTGTAGGTGATCTTTCATTGTACGAACACCATTGAGTGCACTTGCACAAACCTATATGAGCTGGCCTACTGCACACTGGGCTACTGTATATGTGGCCCGTTGTCGACTGAAATGTTATTCAGTGTATAACTGTTAATTTAAAGACTTTTTGAATATTTCCTTACTCGTGCCCTTACCCAAGAACTTTGGTTTACTTTAGTTTTAGTATTCTAATTAGTGAAATACTGAACAAATAAGGAACCAATTGTAACAGTCATTATAAAATAATATTTTGCATTGAATTCACTGATTTCCCTTCCCCCCAACACACATTTTCATTGAATCTCTCCAACACTAGGATTTGAACAGGTTAAGTGAATCTAAGAGCAGTCAGCCAGTATGAATTAGATTCATATCTGGAGCCTCCTTCTCCTTACTTTCCTCTGTGCTTTTTGGATGACACTGGAGATATCCCATGAGCAAGTACCTTACTCAGGAGGTTGAAAGAACTCTCAGAAAACCGGAGGAAAGGAGTGCAGCATTTGCCAAGCTTCATAAGATGCCAGTGAGTGGCTTCAAAAACCTCAATTTGCCTGTGTCTGCAAGATGTTTCTATATGAGACAGTCAGATGGATAGGAAACCTATATTCCCTGGAATTATGAAATTGTGAGATTGTAAAGCTAGTGTCATCAACACCACAAGTTACTAGAACATTTCCAAGAGTCAGTGTAAACCTGCATAGATTTCAGTAGGGCTAGATTAATGTAATTGAATTATTTTAGAGGGGAAAGCCTGGAAAAATGATTTTATCTAAGTTCCTGAGAAAAGTTCTCAGAGCTTTATTGCACATTTAAATCCAAATGATGATGAGTAACAGAAATACAAGAGAGCTTGCCTGAACTTTCATCTAAGAAATGGAAACTAATGTAGATAATTTGTGATAAGAGGTTTGAATGATTCTGGACAGAAAATTGAAAAGGATAATAGCTTAGTGACTCATCCCCAAGGGCAGAAATCTACAGTGAGTTCTCCAGACCCATGGCAGGATGAACGATTGATCAACCGTCAACGTTACTCTTTACTGTGCTGTGTTCCCAGCATGTCCATAACCATGAGTTCAATAACTCAGTCATTGCACTGACTCAAAATAAATCCGTGAGTTACCCGAATTTGGGAGAATAGTTAGGTGACTGTCTAGACACTAGTTAGTGTAAGATTGTAATATTAATTGGCATGAAAATGAATATCAATTAATTTAGACTGTCATCCCTATGTAAATTGTGCTAATGCGATACACCTTTTACACCTTTTTTTTTTTCTTGGAGAGGTTTTTTTTTTGGGTTTTCTTTCAGTTTTCACTGTAGGGTGCGTGCGCTCGCCGGACAGACAGAGAAGAGACATAGAGACAGAAAGCGAGAGATCACCCCCCACGGGGGATGGTCACGCCGCAATCCCTTCTCCTCCATTCTCCTCTTGGGATCTTGGGCACGCATGCACACGCGCCCGGCGT